TACTTGTACTTTTACTCAAGTATCACTTTGTGGTACTTTATACAACACTGGTCACAGTCATGCAATACAGCAGCACTGAAGATATTGGAAAAGGAAAATCCGTCCTTTTTTCTTTCTAAGGTTTTCCGTATCAAGAAATAATAAAAATATATCTGATCTTTACCAGGTTTGAACATTCTAGCTTCAGCTGTGTAAAACTCACTATGTAAGGGGCAGGGGACACCCTGGACAGGTCCATCACAAACAACCTTTCACTCACTMACACTTCAACTGACCAAGTAGCCTAACAATCATGTTTGTGGTCTGTGGGGGGAAACCGGAGTRCACGGAGAAAACTCAGGCAAACTCTACCCAGAAAGGACCTCAGAAGGAATTTGAGGCAACAGCTCTACCAAAATGCACCACCGTGCAGCCACGTCAGTATCTATTAAACCAACAGAAATCTAATTCCAGGCTTGCTGATTCATTGGATTAAAGAGGAAACACAGAAGGCAGGAGCTGCTAATCAAATAGGTTCGATAAACTGACCACTTCTRCTTTTTGGTAATTTGCTAGTCTAGAGTGAATGATCTTAAAGAAACAACTGCTGCTGCGTGTCAATCTGGAAAGTGCTGAAGGTCATTGCTAAACAGTTTGGAGTTCATCAATCTGGAGAAAGATTATTCACGAGTGGAAAACTTAGACAGCTGTCAATCTTAAGGTCAGTCCAGTGCTCATTGAAAAAAAATAAATAAAAACTTTTCAAACTGGTACAGAGCCTGTCCGGTGAGATTGGTTAAGAAAATATTAATACGTGGTCGCGAGACAATAACTCATGGCCACGAAATAGTTAATGTGTWGCCACGAGATAATTATTGCAGTCATTTCAGTGAAGAGACTGTTTATTGTTTACATGATTTGAATTATTTATTTTTTTAAACAAAGGAATGAATAACATACTTCAGTCACTTACATTAGGAATGATGTAATTCTTAGCATATATGAGAAAAAAGGGGCAGATATCATGGCCGGATTAACCATATGGGCAATTGGGCAACTGCCCAGGGGCCCACGGTCTCCAAAGGGCCCTGGGCATGGCCGGATTAACCATATGGGCAATTGGGCAACTGCCCAGGGGCCCACGGTCTCCAAAGGGCCCTGGGCAGTGAAGGCACGGACATAACGGATGCGGGATATATGTGGACATGTCTCCCTGAGTCCCCGCACTTCCTGCGTCTGCGCTCTCTGTCCCCCGCACTTTTCTTAGCCGTAACAGCTGTTTTATCCATTATTGACATAAGGTAATGCTTTTTTCTGAGCCGTCTTTGAACGCACCATAAGCGTGCGCAAGCTACTCCTGCAGATGAGATGACGGAGCTGCTGTGCTGAGCAGAGCCTCGCGGTGTAAAGAG